GATGGCTCAGTGGAATAAGCGCTTCCCTGGCAAGCGCAAGGGCCTGAGTTCAATCCCCGGTTCCACCAAAAAAAAAAAAAAAAAAAAGAAAGAAAGAAAGAAAATAACTTTCTCTGTGATTATCTCTGGGGTCTACAGTTTTGTGGCAGTCATGCCTATTCAGGGCTTGACTCTGTTCTTGCTTCTAAAGGAGGCAGTAAGAGCCCAGATTCATACTGGATAATCTTAGCAAGTGTGCAGTAGGTTTAGGGTGGAGTGCTTGTTCTGGTAATTTCAAAATCCACAGAATTGAAGTTGAGCCTAGCCTCTTACTGTGGGGTTTGGCCTAGAGTTGGTTAGCTTGTAAGACTCTAGGTGTTTCTTACTGGTCTTACCCCAGATCCTAACCAAGGATGTCTCCTGTGGCTACCCCTCATCCAGTCACCAAGGGATTTTAACACTGTGAGTCCTGAGAGGAAGCCAACCAATGGATTCTGAGTCCCAGGTCCAGTTGGCCTGTCCCTAAAATGGCATCTGACCAAGCAGTGTCTCTAAGGAACACCGCAGTTGCTTGAACAGGAGTCACTTACCAGCTGTTGTAGTGCACAGCATCCACTGCTCTGCTCTACTGGTGCACTTCTCCCTGGAGGCCCCTGGAATCACCCATGTTCACTGCAGCTCTGTTGGTGTGATCCTCCTTTCTTATGCAACAAGCCAAGGGCTGGGATGAAAGTGCAGACTGCCCCTTCCATTTCTTTGTGCTGTGGTTTGTCTCTTCAATTTCTCTGTGGGCTTGAATTTTCCCTTCAGATCTTTCCTGGGTCCCAGGTATCCACCTCTCTCCTTCTTTTCTTCCCTAACTTTTTATTTTCCAGGGTCTGTTTTCTGAATATCGGTGAGGTTGAAGTGCTGCTGCTCACTGCTCCACCATCTTCCAAGAAGTCTATTGCCCCATTAATTTTGAAGAAAAGTTTTGCAGCAAATATAATTTGGAGTAGGATGTTATTATCTTTAAGGGCTTGAAACACTTGGCTTCAAATCCTCCTTGCTTTTAAGGTTTCTGTAGAGAAATCTGCTGTAATATAATGGGTTTACTTTTAAATATAATTCATTGCCTTTCTTTTAGCAGCTTTTAAGATTTTGTCTCCATGTTTGAATTCTTGTACTTAGAGTATAACTTGATGCAGAGACATTAACTTTTGGTTGTGGCCATTTGGGGCTATATATGCCTCATTTATCTGTATGGTCTTTTTCTTTTTTTTGTATTTAGTGCAGGGTCTCCAGGGTCTACAGGGTCTCACTGCACAGATCAGACTTGTAGTGATTCTCCTGTTTTCAGCTTCCCAAGCACTAGGATTACAGGCACACGACACCATGCCCAGTCTCAATTGGGTCTCAGCATGCCCTGGGGGTGGGGCCAGCATGGTAATGTAAGGTCATTTTTTCCCTATAATTTTTGCCATTATTTCTGTGAACAGATATTTTAATGCTATTTGTGCTGTCTTCTAATTTTTAAATTATTCTAATTATTCTTAGGTTAGTCTTCTTTGTGTCATTCAGTAGCTGTTGGATCCATTTTTCATGTTCTTTTATTGTTTTAAAGGTGTCTTTGAATAGAAGTCCTTTGAAGATATCCTGGTCTCTAGTTCTGACATTCTTTCCTTACATTGGTGGTTCTGCTGCCCATAATTTCCAATATGATTCTTCATTTCCTGGATTTCTGATTAAAATCTTTTAAGGACTCTTAATTCTTTGGTAAACTGGTCATTCATATTTTGTGTCATTTTATGACACAAAGCTAGCTCCTCTAGCTTTCTGTCTTCTTAAAGCTTCTGTGTCTTTTTGGTTATTACTTTTATTATCCATTTAGTTATATCTTCTGTGACCCTACTGTGTACCTCTTTGGGCTGTTTTCTAATCTTCTCTATTATTCTCTCAAATAATTCAGGTATGTGGCAAATGCTGTTTTGCTCTTTGGTGCCCCTTGTATTGGCTTCATCGGAACTGGGAGTTTGGGGGTACTTTGTTGCCGTGTCTTGTCGTACTTCTATTGTTTGCTTTTGTGCTGAGGATTGGTAAATGCTTATAGCGTAAAAACTTTGTTGCTAGGATATAGATCTTTTTGGTTGTTTTTCAGTGATGTACTTTGCATACCATAATCCTTTGCAACAGCTTCAAGATCTCTGAGCACCTTAGTTAGTTGGGGAGAGCAGGGTGTTGTGTAGTTGACCCAACAGCCAATTTCACTGGGAATGTACTCTAGTATTGTTGATATCACAAAGGTAATCTGAGCATTGGTTTATAGAAATATAAGGAAAATAACATAACCCTATTAATGCAAATTAGCTACTATACTATCGTCCCAGACAAATTGGATATTAACAGACCATAAGAAGCAATTATGTACTACCCTTAAATCTAGAGATGAAATCTGCAATTATGGCATAAACATGAAGACAACCTAGGTATTGATTTACAGCTAATATGTATGAAATGTTATAGCTATAGGTAGAAAAAAACTCAACAGTAATTTTACAGAGTTAATTATCAAAAGATTATTCAAGTTTTATGGTTATACTATTAAATATATAGCACTTGAGAATGGGGAATGTAAGAAGAAGACTTTGACTATGACTTTATGAACTCCAACAGAAGAAATTCACCAAATAAGGCAAACTAATAGAGGACAGGAATATGAGAGAGAGAGAGAGAGAGAGAGAGAGAGAGAGAGAGAGAGAGAGAGAGAGCCAACAACAGAAAAATAACACGACACAGAGCAATGGATACATATGTTATACCCATCAATGTTAATGGTCTCAACTCACCAATCAAAAGACACACACTGGCAGAATGGATCAAGAAGAAAGACCCAACAATGTGCTGCATATAATGAACAGATTTAATTAAAAAAGAAATTCAGGGGTAGGGAGATAGATCAACAGTCTAAGCTTGGCAAGCACAAGGTCCTGAGTTTGATCCCCTGTACTGAATATGCCAGCTCCAGAACCCTGGGTATGCCATGCTGGCCACCAAACTCAGGTGTGGTGGCTCATGCTTATAATCACAGAGCTGGGGAGGCTAAGACAGGAGGATCACTACAATACTGAGCTGCATAGCAAGACTCTGTACCAAATAAGTAAATAAAAGATTAAAAAATTCATAGACTGAAAATCAAAGGATGGAAAAAAATACTCCATATGACAAGAACCCAGAAAAAAGAAAAAAAATAGGAATAGCTGTTCTATTTATAGACAAAGTGAATTTCAAACCAGAACTAGACGAAGAAGGTCATTACATCCTTGTAAAGAGAACAGTCCAGGAGAAAGAGGTAACAATCATAAATACATAAGCAACAAATACCAATGCACCTAACTATATAAAACAAATATTAACAGGCATGAAAAGTCAAATAAGCACGGATACAATTGTATTGGGAGATCTCAATACCCCACTGTCACAAAATGACAGGTCAACTAGACAAAAAATCAATGATGAAGTATTAGAACTGAACAAAACTTTTGAACAAATAGATTTAGTGGATGTCTACAATGTTCTACCCCACAACATCAGAAAGCACATTTTTTCTCAGCTGCACATAGAATATGCTCCAAAATAGGCCACCTACTAGGTTATAGAACATGCCTAAGTAAACTCAAAGGAATTGAAATTATCCCATGAACATTATCAGTTCATAGTCAATGAAATTAGAAGTTAGTGGCACAGGAAAGCACAAGAACTTCATAAACACATGAAAGTTAAATAGAAGCTCCCCCAAAAACCAGTGGGTCACAGATGAAATTAAGGAAGAGACTAAACAGTTTCTAGAATTAAATGATACTGACAATGTAACATACTAGAACTTATGGGACACAATGAAAACAGTCCAATGAGGAAAATTCATTTGTGGTTTTGGATCCTCTGAGCCTTGCTCCGGCTCCTCTCTTCATTAGATATCCTGGCTTCTTTTCTTCACTTTCAGAAATCAGTTACAAAAGGCAGTAGGAATTTTTGTGCTGAGGCAAAGTTACTCTTCTCTGACAGATTAAACATACATCATGCCATATAGACACAAGAACAATTTATTCATTTGTTCTGAAATACTATTATTCTTACTAGCTTCTTTTGTCAGACTGGCTTTTCAGGGTGCATTGTATTTATTAATTATTTATCAACTTTGAGTTCATTCATTCATTCTGAAGGACACTCAGTGGAAATTTTACTCTATTTCTATTTATAGATGAGGATACTGAGACATAGAGGGGTTATATAAAGAAGGCAAAACTATTTTCAAATGCACTTTTTAGGAGGGAATATTTGCAACACTTCTATCATTGTGTTTTCAGTCAATCTATATGTGGCCTTCATGATTTATGTAACCAACTATTACGTTATCTAAGTACTATTTTTCTCCATTCACTAATTTTCAATCTCAAGTAAGTTTCTGTGAAACTGCAAGTACCTACAAGATTATTTTACCTGCTTAAAGCAAATCAAAATAAACATCTAAAAATAAACATGTAGCTGCCAAATAAAAACAACACTTAATAATCACCCACAATTATCTCAGGTTTCATTAGTGGTAGAAGTATCATTTATGCAAATACTAACTACATGCTATCAGTAGTGCTTATGTAGCCAAAATCTGTGTAATTCTTTGGTGAATAGAACTATGTTACTATCCTTTTGAACAGTCAGACCAATATATCTACCACAGCACTCCAGAAACTGACCTTGTAGATAATCTCTCATTTGTTATGAATGAGAATATTCTAAACTTTGCATTGATTGGCATAGCATTGACTTAATCTGTATTATGTAGAAATGGTAGTAATGAGTTTCCTGTTTACTTTTGCTCTTCTAGATGCATAAAGTTGTTTACCCTCTTTTACGAACACCAAGTTTTTCACTTTATTGTTACTTCATACCTTTAATTACATTTATGGCTTCTTTGGATTTGGACCTTCATATACTCAAGAATGTGTTTTGGCAGGTAAGAAGACATTTTAAAACAAGTTTCAGTCAGTTCTTGCTTATTCATCTTGACAGAAAATATGACTTTATATAGAAGATTAATCATTCATAAACCTTACAATTTTAGTTGTTTTTTGCTCTTTGTTTTAAAGAATCACTAAAGAGAGCTGAGGAGAGGGGGGAAGAGCTACTTGCTGAGGAACTACTGTGATTAGACATTGAGTAAATATCATCTCCACTTTGCAAATGAACAAACTGAAGTCCAGAAATCACAAGCAAGATTGATACATATCAGAACCTAGATTCTGGTTCCCATGTACTACTTCACTATATCTGTAAATTTGTCTGTTTTTGCTAAGTTTGTTTTATCTATGCTTTTTGTTTCTTAATTATACTTATTGGACTCTTGTATTTTTAGAGAACATACTGCTGTTCTGTTCTAACACCTACAGTTAATATTCATTGACTTACTAGCTTTTCTGGATATTTTGTGTATTTAGGTTTTCATTTTTTAAAAAAAGAATTAGTGGGGCTGGAGAGATGGCTCAGTGGTCTAAAGCACCTACTTGGAACAAGCTTGGCTAAAGCACAGGGTCCGCGGTTCGATCCCCCAGCACCACATGCCAGCCAGCCGTGCCCCCTGGTGGGCTGAGCTGGCCCCCCCCCCACACACTAAATAAATGTTAAAATAAATAAATAAATAATTAAAAAAAAGAATTAGTGGTTATTATCATTCAAATCTAAATTTTATTATGCCTTTTCTTTTGCCTATTAATTTTTTTAGAAGTTGTTTGAAATTTTTCAAATATAATATTTTATTATTTTTCTCATCAGATTATGATCAGAGAACGTGATTTGTATAAGTCTTGTGACTTACTGCGATTTGCTTTGTAGCCTGGTACATGATAAATTTTCCCAAAAGGTCTGTGTTTACTTTGCAAAAATGTGTAACTCTAATTGCTAAGCGTAGAGCTCTAAATTTGTTCAGTAGACTGTTTTGTTAATTATGAAATCCGATCTTCTAAGTCTTTGCTCATATTTTTTTTTAGTTCAATTTAACAGTGGACTTATTTTTCTTGCAATTCTGTCAGATTTTACTTTATATAAATAAAGTTCTTGCTGCGGACCTATGAATGTTACTTTCCCTGTTACCTTTTCCTCATTTTCCAATTATTGTTGTATCTGAAATAATTTTTTTACCTTAAATCAATTTTACCTGGTATTATTAATGTTATGCCAGCATTATTTTTGTTAAGTTGGCCAACAAAAATCATTTCACCCTTTTATTTTTCAAGATGTTGCTATTCTTACGTCTAGTTATCTTTTTGATAGTATATATTTGAATTTTTATTTTATCAACATGAAAATTTCTTTGCATTACTTTTTGTTTTAAAAAACTAGTTTTAGTCCATTGGTGTGATTAAAAATAGACTTAGAATAATCTTCTAGAATAATTGCATAAGATATACAACTTATATAAATCCAGCCAGAATGCATAAGTAAGAGAGAAATGAAAGATATTCAGATTAAAAAGTTTAAGTCACCACTAAAAATGGTCAAAATTGATAAATTCAGTGGAATTACATTGTAAAAATATCAATGTATACAAATCAATTGGATTGCTATACACCAAGAATCAATTAGCTGGAACAAAGAAAAAAGGCAATATTTTTGCAATAGCTACAAAATAAACAACAAAAATCCCTTAGGAATAGATTTAATCAAGGAAGTAAAAAGAATACAGTGAAAACACTGATTGAAGACACATACAAAGAAAATGTATCCCATGTTCATGGATTGAGAGAATTAATATCATTAATATGGTCACACTACTCAATGTGATTGACAGATTCAGTGCAATCTCTATCAAAATTTGAAATTCATTCTTAAAAGAAATAGAAAAAAATCCAAAATTTTTATGGAAGTCCTAAAGCACCTAAATAGCCAAAACAGTTGTGGAGTAGGGGGAGCTTGGAGTATTGACTTCAAAATGTACTACAAAGTAAACCAAAACAATATAGTACTGGTGTAAAAATAGACAAAGACCAATGGAGCAGAAATCCCAGAAACACATCTGCATATTTACCATTAACTAATTTTTGATGAAGGCACTGTTATAGTTTGTGTCTGCATGTTCCCCCAAAACCTCAGGTGCACAGGGGGAGGTCTTTTTAAAGTCTGCTGAATCTAGAATCCGTGCATTGTCTAACTACTGGAATTGGGGATGTGAGTGCTGCACCCACCCACCCTTGGGCAGGTAGCCTACATACAATATAAGGGAGGAAGAGAGGCTTGATCCTCCCTTCTGCTCTTCTTACTTTTATGGTCTTCCTTGCCATGAACTGTTGCTCCTCTGCTATGCCACCCTGCATTGGAGCCAGCTGATTATGAACTGAAGTCTGTAAAAAATGTGAACTAAATAAACTTTTCCTCTCCTAATCTTGAGAGTCAGGTATTCAGCAATGAGGGAAAAGTAACTAAGACAGGGACTGAAAACATTCAGCAGAGAAAGTACTGTTCTCTTCAATAAAATGGTGCTGGGAGACTGGGTATTCATGTGCAGAAAAACGAAATTAAATAGCTATCTCTTGACATTAAAAAAAAAAACACCTCAAAATAGTCAAAGACCTTCTACTATGCAACTACTACTTGGAGAAACCACAACAGATGTGACTCAGAGAACACTGGTACCTCAAAAGCACAAGCAACACAAGCAAAACTATACAAATGGAATGCAAAAATACAGAATCAAAAAAAAAAATACAGAATCCATCAAATGGAAAACTTTTGTACAGTGGGCTGGGGAGATAGATCAGTGGCTTAAGCGCCTGCACAAGGTCCTGAGTTCAATTCTTGGTACAAAAAAAGAAAAAAAAAAAAGAAAAAAAAGATCATAATAAAATGAAGAGACAATCTATAGATTGGGAGAACATATTTGTAAACTATTCATCCAACAAGGATAACTACTCATACTATTGAACTCAATTAAATAGCAAAATCCCCAAATCATTCAATTAAAAATTGGCAAATAATCTGCATAGACATTTCTCCAAAGAAGATATGCAAGTTGCTAACAAGAGTATGATTAAATGTTCCAAATCACTAATCATTAGAGAAGTGCAAATCAAAACCACAGTGAGATGTGATTTCACTAACCCTAGTTAGAATGGTTATCATCAAAAAGACAAAGTTGACAAATGCTGGTGAGAATGTGGTGAAAGCAGAAATCTATATTGCTGGTGGGAATGTGTATTGCACAGCCATAATGGAAAACAATGTGGACCTTCCTGAAAAAACTAAAAATAGAATATTATCCATCAGTAGCCAAGGCAAACAAATCATTATGCTGAAGAGGTATCTGTGTTTGCCAAGGTATGGCTACAGTGTAGTATATGTACACAATGGGATGACAGCATAGCATTTTTTCCTTTTTTCAAGCTTTTATGCTTGAAATATTCTTTAGAATATTTCAAGAATAAAATAAAATAAAAAAGAATGAAATCCTATCACTTGCAACAACCTGGGTGGGACTGGAGTAAATTATGTTAGGTGAAATGAGCCAGGAACTTAAAGATGGATATCACATGTGCTTATTTATGTGTGAAAGTTAAAAATGTTAACCTCACTGAAAAACAGAATGCAGCATATCATCAAGAACATTATACATGATAACTAAGTAGGATTTACTCTCAGAATGCAAGGATGGTTCAACATATAGGAATCAACAAATGTAATGTACCATATTAACAGAGCTAAGAATAAAAACAATATAATCACCTCAGTAGATGAAGAAAAGGCTTTTGACAAAGGCAAACACCCATTCATGATAAAAACCTTACAGAAAATTTGAATGGTCTTTATCTCAATCCTATAAAAGCTACCTATGACAAATCAACACCCAACATCATACTAAATGGACAAAAAATGAAAGGAAGAAATTAAATTATTATTATTTGCAGATAATATGATACTTTACATAGAAGACTCCAAAAGCTCCACCAAAAGACTTTTAGATTTAATAACCAAATTCAGTAGCATAACTGGATAAGAAGTCAACACTAAAGAATCAGTAACCTTTCTGTACTTGAATAACAAACTGAGAGAAAACATAGGGCAGAAAACCTTTCACAATAGCATCCTGAAACAATAAAATACATAAGAATCCATCCAATGAAGAAAGTAAAATACCTCTATATTGAAAACTACAGTGCTCTGAAAAAAGAGGTTGAAGAAGATATCAGAAAATGAAGATATCTCTTGCTCTTTGGTAGGAAGAACCAATGTAATGAAAATAGCCATGCAGATCTATGTATAGACTTAATGCAATCCTGATTAAAATTCCAAGAGCATATCTCACAGAATTCGAGAAAACAGTCCTAAAATTCATCTGGAACCAGAAGAGACTTAAAATAGTAGAAGTAGTTATGGGCAACAAAGGCAAAGTGAGGAGTAATACAATCCCTGACTTAAAACTGTACTCCAAATCTATTGTGATAAAAGGAACATGTTGCTAACAAAACAATCAGACCCACAAATCAATGGAACAGATTAGAAGATGCAGAAACATCTCCAGACATATCTAGCCCCCTTATCTTTTACAAAGAAGCCAAATGAGCTCACTGGAAGAAAGATAGCCTCTTTACTAAGTGGTGCTAGAAAAACTGGCTTTCCATATGCTGAAGATTAAAATTGGATCCATATATTTCATCATGCACTAAACTAAAATTGAAATGGATCAGTATCTAAATATTGAAGCAGAACACTAAATCTGCTGGAAGATAGAATAGGTAGCACTGTTGAAGGCACTGCATAAGCAATGATTTTATGAACAAAACTCCAATTGCACAGGAAGTATCACAAAGCATCAACAACTGTGATCTCGTTGTTACACAGTAAGAGAAACTATCAAAAGAGTGAAGGAACAACCTATAGTGTGAGAAAAAATTTAAATACTTTTTTTTTGTTGTTGTTTTTTTGAGACAGAGTTTCACTCTGTAGTCCAGACTGGCCTTCAACCCATTACATAGCCCAGGATGGCCTCGAACTTGTGGCAGTTCTCATGCATCAGCCTCATGAGTGCTGGGATTACAGGAGTGCATCATCACGCCCAGATATGGACATTTTTTTTTTTTTGCCAGATGTTACTTAGACAAATGCATTCTATTTAGAATATGTGAAGAACTTAAAAAAATAGATTTCTATTGTAACTTTCATTCATTTCTCATTTCCCCCCAGATTTAAAGAACCAATTGAAAAATGACCATTTGAAATAAATGCACATTTATCAGATAAAGAAGTAGAAACAGCAAATTAATGTATGAAAAAATGTTCAGAATCATTGGTCATTTGAGAGATGTTAAGATTTCATCTCTTTCCAGAAGGAATGGTTTATTCCCAAGAAATCAACCAATAACAAATGATTATAGAACTCTCGGGGAAAAAGGAACACTTCTCCACTGTTGGTGGGATTGCAGGCTGATGCAACTACTGTGGAAATCAGTGTGGAGATTCCTCAAAAACTAGGACCAGAGGTCCCATTTGACCCAGCTATTCTCCTTCTTTTTATCTTCCCCGAAGAATTCACAGCATCATACCACAATTTTTAATACCTTAATCTTGGAAACGGCCTAAATGCCCATCTGCTGATAGATGAACTAAGATGTGGTTCTTTTATATAATGATGTACTACTCAGTCATAAGGAAGGTTAATATTGGTAACATTTCTAGGTAAATGGATTCACCCTGGGAATATACTTTTAAATGAAATAAACTGGATACACATGTGCAAAAGTACTGCACTGTTTCTCTGGTGTGAGAAACTGAAAGTGTAAATTAGGGCCAAATGGTGTGATAGATATTGTGAAATAGGAAGAAAATGTTCAAATGAGAAGGGGACAAAAGAGATAAAAAAATGAAATAAAGTTGCAATAGAAAATAAAGGAAAATGATCTCATGGAAGTAGAATAGATAATAGGATAGTGATTGCCAGAGGTTGGAAGAAAAATCTCAGAGAGGAATTAGAGAAAGTTTGGTTAATGAATACAACAATACAGCTAGTTGGGGAAATTAGATTCCAGCACAGAGAGATGATTATAGTTAAAAATAATTTATTTTATACAGTATTTCAAAATAACTGGAAGAGTGTTGTTTCCAACTCAAAAAACCCACAAATATTTGGCATGATATACTACTTACACCGATTTGATCATTATGTATTGTAAACTTCTTACTCCATAATCTGTGTAGATATTATGTGTCAGTTAAAAAATATAACCAAGATCTGATTCTTAGGACCATGTAGATGCAGTCATGCTATCACCGGATGCTAAATCTAAGCTGTGTCATGAATTGATTTGCAGATCTCATTAGCTGGAGTGATTAGCATTTTTGCTGAACTTGTCGTGACTGGATATGTGGTAATGAGATTCAATGAAAGTTCATGGGATTTGCAATGTTGCATATTCTTTACCATCACCCTCAGCAGTATAGATCCTCTTCATTCTGTAAAATCGTTGGGAACTATCGGTAAGTTAGATTTATTTCTTTTCCTTCTCTTGATGATATGAGGATACATTATTTTCTTTTCATTATTATTATTTTTTGCGTGAACTGGGCACCCAGCAGAGTAAGATTTAGTGCTTTCTTTTTAAAAGATGGAACATTGACTGACGTGAAGAAACCAGAACTGATAAGACAATCACTAAGGACCTGACACACAAGTAATTTTAGTTCTATCTCAAAGGAAGCTCTCAAGTGGGAAGTATAATCTTTTTACAAGGTGATAAACATTGGCATTCTTATTCTTTGCTGCTGAATTCAAAGCCACTAGGCAAACATTCTAAGTTGGAGTGTTTGTTTACCAATAAAAAACCCTAATAAGTCTTTTCAAGGCCTCATTACTTCTTGTTCAAAATGTCTCTAGTTCTGAGTATCTGACGATGGTTAGCTGTGGAGGTTATCTGAAAGAAAAGGGGAAAGGATGTAGTCTGGAACCGAACTGAATTCATTCAATAGAAGATTATTTTTAACATGGCTTGAGGTTGTATATGATTACTCACCTTACTTGGTAAGGTTAAAGTGATTTTACTCTAAAATGTCTATTTTCATGTTTATCAACATGTAAAAACATTAAGTAGTTGGACTCTATAGTTTCTCTAGTTGCCTCAAAATATCTTTTCCTGATCAACTTTAAGGTACTGGTTTTGTTTAGAACAAAGACATTACCCTATGATTGTGATGAGAAATTGTCTGTATTTTCAGCAAATGGTACTTCCATTTTTCTTTCTTTTTGTACTGGGGATTGAACTCAGGACCTTGAACTTGCCAGGCAGGTGTTTATGCTGCTGAGCTATCTCTATGGTCCTGGTACTTTTGTTTTTACGTTCATTTCATGTACAGCTGGAAAAACACAGGAAGGATTTAGGCATATTTGGTGGTGATTTAGGCATAGCTATGCCGGTGACATAGCTCAGCAGCTTAACTGCTTGCCAGGTGAGTGTAAGACCAAGTACTGAGTTCAATCTCCAGTACCACACACACACACACACACACACACACACGGAATAGTATGCTTGGTGGTAATGTATAAATCATTGTAAGGTAGTTATAGCTCTCAGAGTCTGCTCCTGTATTCTTTGTTCTCCTAAGTACAACATTTCCCTCTTTTTGTTACCTAATATTTTTCTTTTAGCTATTTGTATTTAGCATTTGCTTTGTTACTTCATTCTTTTTTTGTATCCTTTTTTTTTGCACTCTCATGAGTGCATATGGTTATGAGAGGAAACTATAAATGTTACTTAATATGGTTTCCATAGTCAGTGTTTTTCAAAAAAAGCAGTAAAATAGAAAATCTTTTGGGCTTCCTGCTGTGGAATTGCAGGACAGCCATGCCATGGATTTAAGAAGGACCTATTCTTAGATGACAAGAACATGGTACTGTTGCTTAAACTATAAAGTTGTGAAGACAGTGCCAGCAACCAGCCAGGCCCAGCTATTCTATTCCACTTCAGAGGAGTGGGTGCAGCTGGAAGGAGCTGTGGAGTCCAGCAGCCACCAGGGCCCAGCCAGGCACTATGATGAGGAACAGCTGGAAGGAGTCAAGTATAGCAGCAAGACCCAAGTCAAGCCCAACTGAATGAGTTCGAGTTTGGTAGAACTAGACCCAGTGGGCTGAGGTACACTGGTAGGCCCAGCAAGGCCCAGATAAAGGCCCAGACTTATAGGAGGGGCCTCATGGCACAGAGGTGGGTGACAGGAGGTAACTCGGGTGAACTAGTCTGCCTGGAAGACTCCAGGTACATAAAGGGGAGGTGCCCAGACAGAACTCAGGGTAATTTAAAAACAGATTTCCAGGGCTGGCGAGATAGCTCAGCAGACTAAGTGCTTACTTAGGCAGTGCAGGGAGGGAGTTTCTATCCCTGGCACCACATGCTGTGTTGGCTCTGCCCCCAGGAGGGCATCCTGAACTGGATACTGAGACCAGGCTTGGTGGCACACATCTATAATGCCAGTGCTGGGGAGGCTGAAAACAGGAGGGTCAGTATAAGTCCGAGCTGTTTAGTGAGACCCTGTATCAAACACATTAAAAACAACCCCCGCCCCCCGCAAATTCCCAATTTAAGATCTGCTTTTACTCAGATTTGTGTAATGTTACAGTTTCTCCTACTTCAGGTTATTTTATTTTTATTTTTATTTTTTGGTGAAACTGGGGATTGAACTCAGCCCATTGTGCTTGCCAGGGAAGCGCTTATTCCACTGAGCCATCTGCCCAGCCCCATAAGATCTGCTTTGTTATATAACTATAATGTTTGCTCCTATGGTCTAAAGTACAAACCCATTAGTTACAAAATTTGTCAATTTCTAAATTTTACTAGATATTATTAGTATTGCTAATTGTACTACTGGAAATAGGAAACCATATCTGCCTTAACCACATGTTCTCCCTTGGGTAATAATATCAGGGTAATAACCTCACCAAAGCCCTGTACTGAACAATGTAGAACAGTGCCAAATGGAAATCAATATCTCACAAAAAATTAGCAAAGACATATCAGAACTGAACTAAACCTTTGAACAAATGGACTAAGTGGACCTATACAGAGTGTTCCACCCAACAACATTTGAATACACATTTTTTTCAGTTGTACATGGACATTCTCTAAAATAGACCACATACTAGTCCATAGATCATGTTTAAATAAATGCAAGAAAACAGAAATCATCCCATGTGTATTCTCTGACCACAGTGCAATGAAACTGGAAATACATGACAAAAGAAACCAGAAAAACCCCATAAATACATGGAAATTAAACAATACCCTCCTCAGCAACCAATGGGTCACAGATGAAATTAAACAAGAAATTAAGCAATATCTGCAGATCAATGAAAATTCAAGCACAACTTATCTGAATGTATGCAATGCAATGAAAACAGTTCTTTTTTTCTTTTGAAAGCAGTTCTTACAGGGAAATTTATAGCAGTGAACTGACACATTAGGAAAACAGAACAAGAGCAAATACCCTAATGCTGCACCTAAAACTTTTAGAAAAAGAAGAACAAACCAAGCCCAAAGTCCAAATATGGGAGGAAATTGTAAAGATTAGAGCAGAATTTAATGCAACTGAGAGAAAGGAAACAATAAAAAGAATTAATGAATCAAAAAGTTGGTTATTTGAAAGATTAAATAAAATCAACTAACCCCATCCAACCTCATCAAACAGAGGAAAGAAAAAACTCAAATTCAAGCAATAAGGAAATAAAAGGGTGAAATTACTATAGATCCTGTGGAAACTCAGAAGATCATCAATAGCTATTTTGAAAATTTTTACTTTCACAGAATTGCAGATGCAGGAGAAATGGACATATACCTAGATAGGTACAAATTACCAAACTGAATCAAGAAGATATAAAAACTCTGAATAACCCAATATCAGCCAAAAAGTTGAAATATGATAAAAAACCTATCAACAAAGAAAAGCCCAGGTACTGATGGATCCACAGCTGAAATCTTATTTTATTTTATTATTATTATTATTTATTTTTTCCATAATTTTATTGAGAAACAAATAGCAATAAGACAGTTTCAAACCAAATTGGTAGGACAGTTTCAATAATTAACACATTGCATACATTCTTCCTAGTGGTTAATTGCTGTACAAGATGCGGACTT